GGTGGAGTTGTGCTGGGATCCGGGGAGCTAACGGTTTCAGGTACCGCGGTGTTACTGTTCCTCCGCGTCGTCACTGTCGCGCCGTTAAAACTCTTTATCCGAGCCGAGGTGCTCCTCCGAGGCGTAGTGATGCGTTTTCGGGCCGGATTAGCTTCTGTCGACGCCTCACCTGAACTGGGAGAAACCTTGGAGCCGCGACTAGATGTGGTGCTGATGCTGGCTGCCGGCGACGCCAAAGTTGACACACCAGGCGCAGTCAGTGTTGTGACGGATGCTCCATGTGATTGAGCTCCGCTACCCGCTGCGTTGACAGAAGGAGCCGAAGTGGTGGAGGGCTCTCCAAAAGACGGGGTACAGCCAAGAGATGGTGGGGTGGTGGATTTATCCGGACAAACCTCTTTACACTTGATCTCCTGGCGCATCTCGGGTTTATTTCCACGTCCTTGTTGTTGTTCTAGTGTTGTGGTGCCCACTGGAGCTGGTAGCGTTTTTCCTAATAGATGGTTAGCAGGGGCCACAGAGCCAGCGCCTCCGTTTTCGTCCGTTTTACCAGCTTGGTTGCTCTGGCCAGCAAGCTGTGATTCCAAAGAGCCCACCAAGTCGCTCACAGCTTTTTCATCCACCTCTGAAAAGAACATATCTTCCAGGGGGTCGGAGGCGCCCGCCATCTCTGATCCAAGAGCTGTCTTATTTTATTATTTTGTTTTACAGTGCGCCTGCGTGTTACTAGGCATTGTGGGAATGGCTGTGACGTCATTAAAACAGAAGGAGTGGATTTCCCGTTGAGTTTTTGGTTCACGGTTTTACGTTTTTAATGACAAACATACTGTGACACCACTTGCACAAGGTACTTTCGTGCGTTATAGTGCATATTGGTAGCACTGTATTGTATGTAGCATCGTTAATCAAATAAACGTTCTATATTTAATCTTTTTATTTACATGTGGTCAAAACCATGAATTTGCCTTTCACAAGAATGCTAGAAAAATCTAATATTTTTGTGTTATTACTGCGTTAGGTGCTGCCACTACTTTGTTACCATCAAGAACTATTGGAACACCCTATTTTTGCTTAATGATGCCAAACATCTACTGTTTGTAGCTTAAGATGCGCAGTCGATGATAAACCTCCTGTCTTTCTTTTCCGATTTCAAAATTCTATTCTCAGCAGCTGGGGAAGTACGTCTCGTGTATTATCGCGATGACACAGCAGATGTACTTTGGCTCGCTTTAGTTTATTTTATTGTATAAGCGCCTGGTTTTTGGCTGTAAAACAGCAAACATTTGATTCATAAAAAATAATTTACTCTGTTTCTTTTATTAGTGTCAAAATTCGTTAGAAGAAAACTTTTAAAGAAAGAGTACCAGCCTTTTTCCCGGCATCCTTAGCGGCAGATGAAGGAAAATGAAAACGGCCATGTCGCGGTAGAAATTCGTGTAGAGGTTTCAACGAGTTGGTCTGAGCTGTGGTGAAACTCATTTTTATTTCACGAAGACTTACCACTTTATATCACATATTACCAATTCGGTAGTTCTTTGGACAGAAGGAATATTAAGCGAAAGTAAGTGCGTCGTTTTATCCAGGCACAAAGATGAGCGGAGGAGGGACACCGTATATTGGCAGCAAAATTAGCCTAATCTCCAAGGCCAAGATTCGCTATGAAGGAATTCTATACACCATTGATACGGAAAACTCGACTGTGGCTCTTGCTAAAGGTAAGTTACAATAACCAAAACGTGAATGAGAGACATTCGACTGGGTTAACACACATCACTGTGTAAAACAACGACGAAAACCTAAATTCGTAGCGCCATCGTTAGCATTGCCAGTTAGCATTTAGCCAACCAGCTAAGTGTTACCGTAGTTAATACTTCGTGTCCTTTGTTTACGTACTACAAGACGGACTACCGTCAAATGCCTATTTTTGAAGAACATTGGCTGAAATACCAAAAGAACACAATAGCTTAGCAGTATCTCATGTATTTCAATAAGTTAAATTATATTTTGTAAAAGTTGCATTGTGACTTTATAATGCACGTATAACTGACCCACATGTTGAAGTGCTCAACATATCCCACACGAGAATAGGAACTCATCTCAGTCAGCGGAAAAGGCAAAAGATGTTCTTCTCTAAGTGCAATCGTCCCCCAAACAAAGTTGTCAAAATCCAATTCTGCGTATTGTCCTACAGTACGCTCCTTTGGATGTTCTTCTTTAAGTGCAATCGTCCCCCAAACTTTTAACTTGTCAAAATCCAATTCTGCGTATTGTCCTACAGTACGCTCCTTTGGCACTGAAGATCGACCAACTGACAGGCCTATTCCTCCTCGGGATGAAGTGTTCGAGTACATCATCTTTCGAGGAAGTGATATTCAAGACCTTACGGTTTGTGAGCCGCCAAAAACTGCAAGCAGCCTTCCACAGGACCCTGCCATAGTTCAAGTAAGTTGATTCAATCTTTTGACCACTAATAGTCAAATGGAACGTTGTACTTTTGTGTCATTTAAAATGTCAGTAAAATCATTCTTCAACACAACCTAATAAAAAAAAATCTTAACAACTGGGGGATACAACATTGCATTTTTGCAAGGAAACAGTTGTTTGTGGTTTTGAAATGGTCTTTTTTTAAGTTCCATATCTTATTTCTAAGATTTTAAACACCAAAGACTTCTACTCTGTGTAGCTGATGCTAACAACAGCCAGGTCATTTCCAGATAATAAAAGGTCTTCTTTTATTACTGATAAATACTGTAGATCTGACACTGAGGATTCTGTGTACAACATACCTGAGTATGACAGTCCAAAATCTGTTTAACCCTCTGCTGCGTCATCATCACTGCTGATACAATTTAGTCAATTATCAGAAATAAGTTGCCAGTAATGCAATTAGTTACACCTGTACAACCGAACGATTCAGATTTTCTGCTAAAAAATCAACTCAACTGTTGTTTCATTTGTTTTGTAGCCACACAGTTTAATACTTGAAATGTTGTGTATATACTTTAGTCATCGGTCAGCTCCACCAGTTCTGCATCTGCTGGGCCCTACGCTCCCTTCAGTCGAGCACCTGTCGCACCTTACAGCCAGTTTGGAGGGACGGCACTTGCAGCACAGCAGTATGAGTCTGCTGCTGCAGGAGGTTAGAAGTTTTTTTTTGTGGCATAAATGTGTGAAAAGTAGTAGGTTTTTTTTGTGGCATAAATGTGTGGAAAGTAGTTTAATTATGCATGTTTACACTGAGGAACAGTATTCAACATTAATTTTCTCTGCCTGCTGATTAAACAACAAATCCAAAAATAGTTTAAAGTAGATTCTAAATCCTGCTTCTCATTTTACTGCATCTGCAGTGTGTACCAGTACTCAGGTGGAGTCTTTGGCAAAAATTCCTGCCCTGGAGCAGCCGGTGCAGAGTCTGCCCTCTGCTGTTTCAGCTGCTCCTGCTCCTGTAAGGCAAAGGAGCCCACCAGGGATGACTGCCCCGGCCAGACCCACCACTGGCCAAAAGCCCCCAGAGCCTCTGCAGCGGCAAAATGGTAAGAAATGTCTCAAGCACAACTAAGGAGTGTGAAGCCAGTCTTGTCTGGAGTATCATAAACCATAGTGGTGTCAAATGAATGTCACCGGAGCACAAGAAGTGAAAAAAACAAGTGCTATTAAGTTTCACATACACTGTTTTTCCTGGAAAGCAGGAGATGGTGGTTTTATTGATATATAGTCTAACACAACATCAGTTTCATCTTGAAGACTTTGTAGTAAATACAAATTTCTCTCCTATTGTTATGAAATGACCTTCTATTAATGAGTAGAATAGAAAACCGTCTGTGGGCTGTCAGCAACCATTCACATTCGAGTCCCAACAGAAAATTTTCCAAAGAATCTGAGACCCAGTCCGTACTGAATAATTCCTGATAAACGGCTCTTTGTCCACTTTGTTCTCTGTTAAGCTCCTGAGGTGCAGAAAGTCTTGCAGCCTGACGGTGAACATGCTGCCGTCGAAAACCGGGATCCAAACAAGCGTCAAGCCGGTGAGCAATGTAATGGTTACCTTTCATTTTCTTCTTTGCATGCATTACGTTTGTTAGATTTATTTAAAATATTATTTATCGGTTACTATTTTTTTACTCGCAGTGGCGTTTGCTGACTTTTGACCTATTTGTTTTCCCAGTCGGATCTCAGCCAAACCGCCGTGGCCGTGGAAAAGGAAACCGCAGCAGAGGCAGAGTGAACGTGCGCAGGGACGGCCCTATGAAGTTTGACGAAGACTTTGATTTCGAGTCGGCTAATGCCCAGTTTCACAAAGACGACATTGACAAGGAGTTTCAAAACAAGCTCAAAATAAAGGGTATGTTGTTGTCTCTTGTATTTAGTTTGTTACACCTGATCAATGTTTACTCTGTGCCATTATTAATGGGTTTGTGTTCTGATAAAAACAAACTGTCAGATGATAAAGCACTGAATGGAGAAGAAACTGCTGACTCAGACCATCCAGTCACAGAGGGAACCACTGAGGAGGAGGAGCCGGCGATAAACTCATGTTACTATGACAAGTCCAAGTCCTTCTTTGACAACCTGTCCTGTGATGATCCAAGGTACCAAGGGTTACAGACTGACAGTAACGCAGCACAGATGTTTGTACAGTAGGCATTATTCTTTGGAATATATTTAGAAGTTACAGCTTTATTAAATTAAGACACTGAAAGTCTTTTGTGTTTTATCTTTTTCAGTAAAGCAGGGGAAAGAGGATTTTCAAGGTAGGTCCTTCTTCTCAGTTGTATTTAAGTACAATGGAAAGAGGATTTTCAAGGTAGGTCCTTTTTCTCAGTTATGTATTTATTTACAAAAAGAGTAAACAGTACTACGTTTCCTTTCAACATTGAATTGGATTCTTTGAAAAGTATTACAATTGTATGTTTAAGTAGAGCTGCTGTTAACACCTCTGCACTTAATAATGTTGATAAAACAGAACAGAATCTTGAGACAGAAATATTAATCGTAGCCTCCTGTCAGAAACCTCCTGGTTTTAAACCTGCGTAAATAATGTCTGACTCATCTTTACGTTGAAGAATATTTAAAGTATTTTCTTCCTAACGCTGTGGAATCTGGGTTTCAGGGACCGGAGGCCAACCTGGGCTGAAGAGCGGCGAATGAACGCCGAGACCTTCGGCCTCCCCCTCAGACACAACCGGGGCAGAGGGGGCTTCCGGGGCCGAGGCTTCATGGGTCCTCGAGGAGGTCGGGGACGACCCGTGAGCAGAGGTTCCTTCGGGCCGCCCCGAGGGGCCCCACCTGGGTTCAGAGGCGGGTTCAGAGGTGGCAGAGGAGGCCGGGAATTTGATTTTGAGTACAGGGTATGTGTTAACGAAAAAAATAACATCAACTGTTTCTACATTCCTTCGATTTCCCCCACTCCTGAGTTTTGTGAATTTGGACTGTTAAACTAAATTGAGTGTGTTTTTCTAACTGTGTGTTTTGTTTCTTTTAGAAGGACAACAAAGTGGCTGCATAGTAACAGCAGCGGTGACTGCACAAAGAACTATTGCCACTTAGTATGAAAATATTCCAGCTCAAGAAATTTCCTTTTGGTTCTACATTAAACAGACGTAACGAAGACATCCCCTCAGACCCAAACACCAGTGTTGGAGTGACTGACATCAGGGTGAAACTACAGCAGTTAATTTCAGTCAAATGGACGGGGTGTCTGAACGACACTTCTTTTTGAGTCACACTGTTTGTTTTTTGTATTTTTTTTTACTTTTTCTTTTTCGTTTTGACTTACTTTCTTGACAACTGCCCTTTTGACGAAAGTCATATGCAGAAAACCCCACTGATACTGTGAGCAGACCACAGATCATGTGATCATTAGCTTTAAATGCGTTTCACCTAGTTTTCTGTTTAATCTTACAGCACCGGTATAGATTGCCTGTGGCGTCTCGTGTTTCCTCTGTTCACACTTCAGGTGGCAGCCACTCGTTCTCTGCGTTTTATACACTTTATCAGTAGATTTTTTTTTTTTTTTTTTGCATTGTCAGTAAAAACATTGAGGTCAAAGTCGGCTTAGAAAGAAAAATCTGGAATCTGTCATGATTGATTTAGTGCGCTTCAGTAACTCATCGCCCGTCAGACTCTTAGTTTTTAGAACACGCGCATCGTTTGTAGAATGATTAGCCTGTGCTTTGAGCCACTGAACCTCCAGTGTCGGAAGATTTTTTTTTGGTCTCTTTTCTGTTATCGTTTTGCAGCCAGTTCTCTGCAGACTTTGTTACAAAAGACATCGTAATAGGAAAACTGTCAGGAGTCAGTCGTTTGACGTATGGAGTTGGACAGCAATAGCTTTAGACGTTTCTCTTTAGTTTATTGTCTTTTGAGCAGGTCTGTTTACAGGATGTGACTAAATGAAAAAGGAGCATTCCCCATGACTTACGACTAAGAGAGAAGCCTCAGTTGTTATCAGTACTTTTTGTAGTTTATTAGATAAGAAAGGCCTTGAGTTAATTTGGTCACATTTATAAAGAACCTGGTCGACGTGTGATCTTGATTTTTGCCAAATAGAACATTTGAGGAGAAACGGAGATTAACCGTAATTTACAAAAAAAATAATAAAAAAAATAATGAACTCATCACGTTTTCTCAGTTTGTATTTCCTCAGTCTTCTCAAAGCGTCTACGTTGGGACATAATGAGCCAGCCGTCAATGACACACCTCAGTTACTACGGACATCTTTGTCTTACAGTTGTATCTCTTCCACTGTTGTCACTGCAGCTTTGTTTACGAAGAGTGTGAAATCTAGTCAACAGGTTTAAGTGATGCGTTGACCAGAGGTGGCAGCGTGTCCGATGTTCCTCTCTGGCCTCTTTTGTTGCATTGGTATCTATTGAGTTGTTACCATTTTTTCCCCCCTCTACGTCCGTGGACAAAGGGACAAAGAAGACAAAGGCATTTTTTGGCATTTGGGATTTCTTTTCTTGCTCTTTTCGGCTGTGAATTTAAAGTTGATTAGGGAGTGCCTTCACAGTGGTCACTTTTAACAGCTCTCCCTTTAACTGCCAGGACAGCTTTTGACTTGTGTATTGCTAGCACTGTAAGCTAAAAGTAGATTTGTTTTTCTTTCCTTTAGCTATGGTTGTATAAAACGAGGCAGCCCGACCAACTGTGTGCTGCTTCAGTGAAATTTTGACTGCTGATCACTGCATGAATAGCCATGAGAACCATCACTTTGTACGGGACTTTGGCAATAACCAGCAAGATCGAATCTGAGACAAAAAGATTATACTGAGCAATTCACAACTGACTTGTTTTCATATGTTTGTTACTCCTTCCACTCACTGGAATTGTAAACCAGGAATTGTTGTCTTGAAAATATCAGCAAAGTTGAGTTTTTACAATGAATAAAGAATTGTACAATATCACATCTCTCTTCTTTTTTTGTCTCCAGTTTTACTTGTCTGCAGATGTGTGCAGCATTTCTCTGAGAGTTTATTCTGTAATAATTATAATTACCTGTCATCATAGTAGGCAATAGTGAAATGTAAAGAAAGGCCTTCTCTAATAAAATACATTTCATTTAGTTTAAATTTGTTATTAAGCAAAAACTTGTCATGTAACCCACATAAAAAAAACATACTTTAATTTTTTTTAAAAAGCAAATGAAATATGTAAATTAAATATAATTCTATCTATTAAGGCCTTCTCTAATAAAATACATTTCATTTAGTTTAAATTTGTTATTAAGCAAAAACTTGTCATGTAACACACATGAAAAAACACTAATTTTTTTTAAAAAGCAAATGAAAAATGTAACTTAAATATTTAGTTTTTCTGGTCAAAATATACAAAATTCTATCTATCAAATTTACATTCATTCTGTTTTACCAAGTTTGGCCTGTAGGCGGTACACATGTATAAAACATACAACCGTTGCACTTGTGCTGTGTCTTTTCAGTTACTGTTTGTTAACGCTCAAGCTCTCCAGAAGAGGGCGACAGCACAACGAGGAAACGGCCACGCAGTAGTCTACAAATACAAATGAAGAAGAAATTGACCGGAAGTATTGCTTTTTTGGTTTTCTATGGTATGAAATAACAACAAGCGGCCAAGACGCGATCATGTCTATTGTATTTGTTCCGAAAAAACTAAGAGGAAGGGCACAAATTAACCAGGAAACGATACAGAGGGTAAGTCTGAGTCTTTTTAGCTGTTACGACGCTTCGTTTTAGCCGTTTGCTCTGATTTCAACAGTAGTGAACGTAGATAGATAGATCAGTAGATCCAGACTTTCTGCGTCATCAAGTAAATCAAGTTTTTCGTTTTAACCAAAGTTTTTCGGGGGTGTTCTTTGGGATTCAGTTACTGGATGAAAACGACCAGTTGATAAGATGCATCACTGAATACATGCAGAAAGGTCGAGCCGTGGAGTGTGTACAGTAAGTCAACAACGACAACATTCGTGTTTGTATCAGTATTGTTTCGCAGAGGCTCTTTTGTTTTAAAACTTTCTCTCACTTTTCATAGATATCAACAGATCCTGCACCGAAACCTGGTTTATTTGGGTAACATAGCTGATGCCAGTCCTGATCACATTCCCGCCCCTTCACAGGTAACGACAGATCATAGATCATATATATAAATATATGTTGCTCCTATATAAAAGCAATAATAAATCAGCCGCAGCTGCGACATACTGTACACCAAAAAGCAATAATACCATAATACAATTACAAAATTATTAAAAAAGACGAATGCTTTTCACTTACCAAAAACGCAGAATCCATCGTCCTCTCCTTAAGATGAGTTCAATTACAGATTATCCGTGCGTTGTCGTCCTAACAACAAGTCCTTTTCTTAAACTCCAGTCTGTCCGTACGTTTTTAATTCCCTTAATGGCTGAGAAAAAGAGAGAAAACTTAAGTTTTGCACGTGCAATTCGCTAAGTGCCATTAGCTAGATTCGAGACTGTGTAGTGTTTTTTGACCATCCAATCAAATCACTCAAATCGCCAGCGTAATTAAACACCTGATGGCGTGCTTTGGTGTGCCAAACTCACACCGTGATTGGTTAAAGAAACAACTTCCGTTCACATATTATTTTAGGTTCCTGGTGTCAGCACTTCCGGCTCTGAAGACCTTAAGGCATATTTCTTTCACCTGGGCAACAGGTGATGGTTAGAGATATGATTGGATAATAAACTCTTGTTGGCTTCTTTGCCTTGTCCTCAAAACCTCATTGTGTCTTTAAAGAAATGTGTTTAAAAAAGTGAGTTTCATCTCTAACCCTGTCTTGTTTTTTTTTCTCCCCAGTCTGTACCCACGGGACCAGCCTCCACCGCTGCAACCAATGGAAATGGATCAACATTGTGACATATGTATCATATACTTTATATAATTTAATATTTACAACAGAAGTCTATATATTATGTGTTGTGCCTTTGCATATATATATTTTTTTATATTTTCTTAAATGTTGAATAAAAGAATAATTTGTGTTTCTTGAGTCATTTGTTGTCAACACCAAAAAGTCAGAGACCATTTTGTTTGCTAGTCATTTTTATTAATTTTTTGCTATGCTGGTACACTTGGAAAGTTTCAGTTGCCAGCTCAAGAGAACAATAAGCAACATAAGCCAAGCAGCCCCCCCCCCTTCATGTCTTCAAACAGGGCAACAGGTTAATTTTTTTTTTTTTTTTAAACATCTTTTGTAGAAGCCACTAGTAAACCATATGACACAGCTGAAGAGCTAACAGTTACAGTCCATGTCTGTAGGGATGTCTTTTAAAAAAAAGGCTTCAACAGTTAAGGGAGAAAACACAGACAAAAAGCAACAAACCCTATATCTTGATTGTGCAAAGCACATTAACTATAAAAAGATATATATTTATATGTATATACAGCAAACAATTCTCTGTAAACATGTTAGGTATGTTAGTCTTCTGAAAACATGGTGTCATTTCATAAATACAGGCAACATTGGCATCCGCAAACATCACAAAAAGATAACATTCTGGGCTCTTTAAATGCAGCCCACTGCCATATAAACCGAAGAAACAAGGGCTGGAAAAAGACCCTCATCACACACTGGTTTAGTGTTATCATGGCATATTTGGTAACCTCACCCAGAGCAGGTGTAGTAGTTCAACTCTGTAGGAAAAACAATGTGCTTTTTTCACATATTGGGAGGTGGAAAATAATGGTTCCATGTAAAATGGCTACAAGTGTACTACTTACATACAGTAAATGGTATAACATGTAGGAAAATACAAAAATAAGATTAATACTGTCGATATAGTTGTACAAGAAAAATATTGTGTCATTTAACAGAAGGAGAGTTAGAGTGGAGGAAATTCATGTGGACGTGGATCAGACGACCACGGTCTGAGGAGAAGGGAAATCAACAGGTGATGTCAGCCGCCTGGCCGTCGTCTCACATCCGTCTCTTCAGCACCGTTCACCTTCTCAACAACACTTTGGTTGGGAACTAGATCCTGCAAGTGCTTTCAATACCAAATGGCACAAAATGACTGCTGTAACTCCAAACTGCTGTTGAAAAAAGTAGTGTGTTTTCTTTTTCAAAGGACACCTCTGAAGTGACTTACTATATTTATGCCGAGCCTGCTCAAAGCCTCTGAATAAAAAGAACTAAATATTTATACTTCCCTATTTTACAAGCTATGAAACAGTAGATGGTAGCTGTACTCTGAGTCATCCTGCGTCAGATTTGGCAGTTACAGCTATGTAGACACAGTATTTTTTTTTTTTTTTCGTGGGCAAAAATGAGAGCGATTCGAGCCCCTGCCCCTCAAACACACCACCATCATATACACACACACAGACAAAAACACATTCTCACACAATGACTGACACACGAACACACGCTCACAAACAAACAAACAAACAAACAAACAAACAAACAAACAAACAAACACACGTTGGGCTGCAGAAGCAGGTGGCTGATGGTCGGGCATGTATCCCCCACATCGGCTCAACAGACAGAGACTCCACCACCAGACGAACTGCTGCCGCCCCGACACATGCACGGCTCCTATTAAAACATGGCAGTTGAAAAATCTTCAAAATACCTCTTCTTTGTTAACAAATGGGTGTGTGTGTGTGTGTGTGTGTTTGACATGGAAAAATAGATATAGAAAAATGTGGAGCCAGTGTGTTTACTCAAATCTGCCTTTTGAAAACTCTTCAATTTCGACTGTAAGGGCCGCGGCCCCGTCCACTCAGTGGCTCATTGAACAGGAGCTCCAGGTCCTCCATGGCACTTCACTGTGGACTCGCTCCACACCGACACGCCGCTCAGTAATGGTGAAGGTAGGAGGGCCTGTGCTCGTGTTTCAGGGGGAAGGATTTAAAGCCCTTGGTCATTGGTTTCTGCTGCTGCTGCTGCTGCTGCTGCTGCTGCTGGGTGCTGAAGGGAAACCCCGAGGAGATGCCTGTGGCGGGGGAGCAGTCGCTGGCGGTGGACCACACTGGGGACTGCAGCATCTGCATGGAGTCGCTCCACTGGGATGAAGGAGGGATGTTCATCTGGTACAAGGAAGAGCTAGGATTGGGCATGGTGTTAGTGTGGGTGGAGTGCTGCCACGGAGCTTTGGGGGGCCAGGTCTTAGTTTTGCTGTCCTGATGGAGAGAACGCAGCACAGGAACACAAGTTAGGAAACAAATATATAGGGAAATCTTAAGGTCGTGCACAGTTCACTGCTGTTGTACAGCTGAATGTGACACATTAATAACACGCCCTGAATTGTGATATATTTGAAAAACTCCAGTCCAGTTGGTCAATATTTAACCTGAGGAAACGTCACATCCATTGCTGTTAACATGGAGTGTGCGAAAATAAAGTTTCATCTTTTTATCTGATGAACTGAAATATTCTGTCCAAATGGAATAAGAGACGCTGCTGCTGGTCGTATTACCTGGCTGTCATCAGCAGTGTGGTGTAGTGGTGGAGAGGGCAGCGTGCACACCTCCTGCTCACCACAGCTGTGTTTTCTGTGAACAGAGAAAATTCACATGAACATTTGATCAAAGTTGAGCTGCAGACAACATTTCTGACACATTTGGGAAACCATTAACTAATTTGTTAGGTATCACTGATGGTCATGATCCTGGTTTGTGGACTTCGTCTCAGACTGACCTTCTTTGCTTCACGGCTGCTACGAGGTCTGGCCCGGAAAACATGGAGAACAAACTGTCACCGTTGGCCGAAGACGTCTCATCGCTGGAGCTGGCCGAGTCCCCCTGATTGGCCGACCAGCTGCTGTTTATAGTCTCACTGTGAGGACACGTGCACATGAAGTGGGAGACAGCGTTGTTTTGATTAGAACAGCAGTCGGGGACAACATTCAGTCTTCTAAATTTAGTCAGAGCAACACTGTGTTTCATTGATAAAAGGCGTCAGATTTCTCACACACTTATCCAATCACAAGACTGTCTGCCAGCCACGCACACCCGGCTGTAAACAACCGTCTAACTCAATGTTTTCTTATCGTTGTTGTTTTCATTTTCCTGAGCGTGGATGTTGAGCTCCAGCCCTGGCTGTAACTTACCCCTCGCTGTAGTACTCGGGGTGGGACCAGGTTCTGTGCTGCTCATCGGGCATTGGCCAGTTGCTGCGTGTGTTGCTAGGGCGACGGATGTGCTGCACCTGCCGTTTCTGCTGCATGGCCTGACTGACGCCGGCCACATATCGTGCAAACTCTGGATCGGAGCCCACTGTGCACGGAGGGAGAGGATAAACACAGCCGTGAGTTTATGACACCCTCAGCTTTTTTTTTTCTCTTTGGCTCCCTGGAGCACAATCCGTTTAGTCAGACTGTCGAGCGCAGCAGAAAAATCACAATAGCCCTAAGTCAACTCAGAACAATGGGGCTGAAGTACAATAAAAAAAACAGTCTGTGCTGTAGAAATGAGTCGGATACAGAAGAGAAATCTTCTTCTGTCTATAGTTTATAAACAACAGAAGGAAACAGAAATAAAACTGCAATTTTTATAGTTTGATTCTCTCAACCCCAACAATAATATGGCTCTAGAATCTGATCATTTGATACAAAAATACATTTGATTCTCTCAACCCCAACAATAATACGGCTCTAGAAGAAGAGAAAATCACAAACTGCCAATATATATTTTTTATATAAATTAGTGTCAAACATATTGACTGAATTTTTACCAAGCCTGAAATAAATGGCACAGAAACTCATCGTTCACTGATGGGATCTCACCTGCTGGGTCAAAGGGCAGAGCATCGCCTTGGACGCTGAACACGCCCTCACTCTGGTCCCTGTTGGGCCAGGTGTTGTTGCGAGGCCCCTGAGGCTTCTGACCCAACATCTCAGACATGACGCTGTCCATGTATGTGCTGACCAGACCCAGGCTGTACAGGTCAGAGCTCAGGTCGGGCAAACCAGGGGATCCCCACTGACCGATGGGACCCAGAGGGGACAGCCCACCCGGGGGGCCTTGTTGTTGCCCGGATGTGCCGAGCCACTTGCTCGACACTCTCTGCTGCGGCAGGACCTGTGGGGGGGTCTGCTGAGGAGGAAGCTGAGGGGGCGGAGGAGGAGGAGGCTGCTGCTGACTGATTGGTTGCAGGAGGTGCTGGTAGTACTGTAAGCTCTGCGGGGAAGGCTGCTGAGGTGGAGGAGCGGGCTGCTGCTGCTGCTGAGGTTGAGGTTGCTGCTGTGGAGGAGGTGGCTGTGGTTGTGGTTGAGGCTGCTGCTGCTGCTGTTTCTGCACTGGTGGAGGCTGAGCCTGGGGCTGAGGAGGGGGCACGGTCTGAGCTGGAGGCTGCAGGGCGCTGTGAGACATGGACTGGGATGTTGGCGGAGGTCCACAGGGAGGTTTCAGTTCGGCAGGGTTTGCGGACGCCACGGAATTTCTCCTCTTGACCAGCGGCGAAGCCTGCTGAGATTTACCCATGTTGAATCCTGAGAGAAAGTCAATAACATCCTGCATCTCCTGGTCTGTGGGCAGGTTCATGCCCTGGTCGTCAGACACCGAACCATTGGCCAGCTGCCCTTGCTGACCGGGGTCAGGAGGGCAGGACAAGCCGCCCATCTGCAGGATGCTCTGAAGCCTCGCGTCGTTGTGGCCAAGGCTCTTGGTCTTTTCTTCAGAGCTGCTGGTTGTCAACATGCTGCGAGACGGGGTGTTAGGGATGGAGTAACTGCCCCCGCTGTTAGAGCTGGAGGAGACTTTCTTGGTAAACTTGGATGTCAGCTTAGATATTGTTTTTGGCAGTCCACTCGAGGTCTTGGTGCTGGTGCCTAGAGGCAGGTCTACGTGTCCGCCGTAGTCGGGAATCTCCCGCAGCAGCTGCATCTGAATAGTGGGTAAGGCCTGCTCTCTGGAGGAAGACAAACGCAAATCAGCACAATCAGAGACCAGAGGACACGGTACAACGCTGTGAGATTCACGGTCCGTCATTTAACTTGACTTACTTTCCCTCCTTCCACCTGTTGATGTCAAACACTGCGGTGTAGAGCATGTCCACGAGACCCAGGGTCTTTTCTGGATCCAAGCTCCTCTGGAGCAGGGACATGGTGGCAGGGTCCTCCTTAAGACACCTGTAAAAAAAAAAAAAAATCAGCTAGAAATTAGATACACATGAACCACTTGGTGCACGTTTTAAGGCAGGCATGGGCAAACTAAGGCCCGGGGGCTGAATGCGGCCCGTTCAGCCTTTTAGTCCGACCCACCAAACTTTTCCAAATTATAGAATTTAGTTGTATTATCATTACACTACTGCCTTTTTAATTATAGAATTTAGTTGTATTATCATTATACTTCTGCCATTCACTGCAATACCCACATTCCCCCAATAGATGGCGTAGAAAATGATAAAAGCATTTTAGCCTTTTATGCATGACTTTTACACCCGGCCCCTCTGTTTTAATTTTAGGACAACTGTTTGCCCACTCCCTGTTTTCGGGCGTGTTTTCTGACCCACTCACCAGGTAGAAGGAACTTGAACCACCACCTTGGAGCCCTCCAGAGTGATCTGTGGAGCGTAGGCCTCTTTGTTCTCTATCTGAGCGGTATCAACCACCACCTGTTGGGGAAACAGAAACAAACCATGTCGTCACCACCGTCTGTAGATTCTGCGTGTGCAAGCAATCGGCAAACATTTTTTATGCTTTTAGGATCTGTAAACCAAGTCAGAGGTCGTACTTCTGTCAGCAACGGAGGAAACCCAGAGGAAAACACACACACACACACACACACACACACACTGTGTACAGGCATATCTGAGGGTTTTGTTATTAATCTTCCACCAACCATGTGAGGAGTGGTTCAAGGTGAGGAAACTGAACACATTCACTCTGTTACTGACAACAAACAGGCCGGCCTTCCTGCCTGCTGCTAGTCAAATGTATTTGCAAGTTCTTTGAAAGTGGCCTTGGCTCCGAGTGCAGCTGGGTCACCGAACGGGGAGGGGAGACGGGAGGAGTCCGCTTCCTGTATTGCAGGAAATTACCCTATTGTTATTTGAAAACACAGGTGTATCCTTGAAAACACGATGTCAGGGAGACACGCGGACACAAACACACAGTGATACATGTGTGACGAGGTCGAAGGAGAAGGAGAAAAAAAAAAAAAAAAACACCCTCCGAGAGTTTCCAGGAACAGATGTGATTCTCACTGTGAGTGTTGTGTGAGGAGAAAGTAAAATAAACAGGGAGGGGGACGGCCGTGTGTGTGTGTGTGTGTGTGTGTGTGTGGGTGAAGATGTGCTGTATGAATATTTACAGTAAATGTCAGTGTTTATAAAAAAATAAAAAAGCTGAGTACACTGTGTGAGAGATTCATGATCTATTTTAGTCTAAAAGTGAGAACTGGGACAGATAAGGAAACAACCCAAACACTGGTCTCTCCTCCTGGGCTTGTTTTACAGCTGACACGGAGCAGGCAGCCCTCCCTGGTTTGACACACAAAAACAGGACAGACCACACAGATGAAATAAACACTGTAGCATAAACACATTGGTGTTACTCTGAGGGGAGCGCCGCTGCTGACCCTCCCCTCTCCCCCTCTCCCCCTCTCCTCTCTCTCTGTATCCAGACTTTAACCAGGTGCCCTCGGGGGTGTTTACTCCCTTTTGTGTCGCTCCGGTGTTTGTTTACGCCTCTCGGCTGCCTCCGAGCAGCCTCGCACTTCCCTTCATCTCATTTACAAATCTTGACACACAATAGTGTCCCAGGTGCCAACAAAGCCAGAGACGCACAAAGGGAAAGGATTCAGTGACTCCGGTGTAGGTGAAGTACAACAGGCCTGTTCACGTTGGCACAGCACGGCAAACTACGACATGCTGACCGAGGAGCAGACAGGGTGTGATGTACACAACCGTTAATCTCACCTCATTCATCACAAACACGTCTCTGTTTCAAGGAAGTAAAAAACTGAGATTTGGATGTGAAAAGTTTTTTTTTTTTTTTTGCCGCCTGCTCGTTTGTGTAGGAAAAGGAAAACCATTAGTTAATACTGTGGTTCTCAAAGTGGGGTTCCCGCCCTCCCTTGGTACTCCCTGAGATCTCGAACTCACCAGTCCAGCCTGAGCGAACAGCAGCTGCACAGCTGTCTTACAGGCTCCTCTCCAGCTGGATGGACAGACATGGTTGAGGACTTCCGTCACTGGAGACGCGTCTCTGGGTGTCACTCCATTCTGGCCCAACGCCTCCTTAATGAGCTGGAGCATTGTGTGCTGAGGAGGTGAGAAAAAACAAACACACAAACAAACAAACATCTTTCAGTCAGTCTGTCATCTGGTTATTTCTCAATACACAATGTAAATAAAACAATATATGTATTATTTTTAAGATCTATATTTTTAAGAGATGACATTCTTAATCAACCATATAACTAAGATAAGAACATTTGTTCTCCTCTACAATACCATGAGAGTTTAGGGTCCTGTACCGTTTTCAGTTTGAGGTTGTCAGCCGCTGATTCGTTGAAGGAAACTCCTTTGAGGAAATGTGAGCCGATCTGCACAGGGATGGTGGGAAGCTCACACTGGATGGGCTGGGAGGTGGTCTGCATCCTTCCTGCCTGCTGGGCCTCGGCCTCACTGCAGCAGCCCTGCACACACACACACGCACGTGTTAACATACAATTCAACCACGTAAGAGAGAACTGACAAGTTTGTTTTTTAAAAAAAAAAGAAATCTGAACTCACCTGTAAGGCCTCCTCCACAGCCTTTGGGTTCAGATGAAAGCCAGCCTTTAGTGCGTACTCACCGTGGCCCATACTCTCCAGCGCTGCTTTATAGGCCTGGAAATGAAAGACGACCATTAAACAGTGCCTTTAACACCACTGGCCTTTTCTATGACAATGTTTGTAAAGATTTGTATGAATTTTCCAGGCGGTCGTTTTAGAGAACGCCCGTGAAGTGACGTACCTGCAGAGCACTGTCGATCCTCATGTTGAGCTCCTTCAGCTGGTGCTCAGGGATGGAAGTGTTGTTGGAGCAGAAGAGCTGCTGGACCTGGATCCCTGCCAGGCAGCCGTCCCGGCCCCTCTCTCTGAGCCTGGCCGTGGCCTGTGGGAACGACAGCGTTCAACACTACAGCAGAAATGTCAACCCTATTATGACACAGTCACACGCAGAAAGGATGATACGAGGCATCGATGTGACCAAACTGTGATCCAACTCTACAACAGAAAAGATTTTCCTTAATAGTTTTTTTTATTTTCTCATGAATAAAGTCCAGTGTCTATAGAACCCTGCAGTAGGTTCTAGCAGGATCAGGTCGAGTCCCCTGCAGTGATAACACTTCACATGTCAGGGCTTAACAGATCAATCTATCCACCATTCTTCACTCTGCCTCACTGGACACAACAAAACACAACATGGAACTGAGGGGTTTTTTATCAGACCTGGGATTAGAGGTGGTTTTCAGAACGTTCCCAGACAACATATTACCAAAGAGAGAGAGGAAATGGGAAATTAGGACTGGAAATCATAACTGGCTGGCATTTCTCAAGAATGTGCTACATGTCAGCCATTCACTTAGCAAAAACCACAGAGCACATGTTTCCAAGACCCAGACCAGGAAGAGTCCTGGGGCACGGTGTGTCTGCATACCTCAGCTGCACCTTTCCATGAGCGAGAGGCTTCCTCCAGCTCCGTCAGGGGCCTGAGGTCGGAGCTCTGGGAGCGGGCGTTGGTGCAACGCTCCTGCGCCTGGGCCAGAGCCTCCGCCAGGCAAGACTGAGCCACGGGCTGGACCTTCTGCAGAGCCTGTGAGAGAAACTGGAAGTGGACCTGCATCACAGTGAGGAAGCACCGTCCAAGTACCTGCGAAGACACAAGAGACACCATCGTAAAACCCAAACGGTATCGGACATGACACGTCACTCCATCTTGAAATTCTGTGTCCAAACAACAACCTGATACCACAGCCCGCCGCCCACCTGTCGTCGTGGGTAGTTTATTTAAGTCGATCAACAATGTCAGCAGTTTGGATGTATTTTAACGTCAGGACAGATGAGGCAGATTTTTTTTGTTGTTGAAACTAAATTAACCAACAATTTTGTTGTTAATTTATCTTAATTCAAACACTGAAATAGTGCAATTCAACTCAAGTAGAAATACTACTACTACTCAAAGGTAATTTAGAATTTTGTGAAAATATTTTGGCGGCTTAACCCTAAGACAAAAACAAAACGGACGATGCTGCCCCTATGGTGAGAGAACCTCCCATCCTCTAACGAGTCAGAAAACAACGGTTACGATATAATCTGATTATCGTCTTCACACGTGTACAAATACATACAGTTTCACAAAAGCTGTGGTGTATAAAGCAGTGCAGTTCACATAAAGATTCTATTTAACACACAGTCCAATCCATCAGCACACGCTGTGAGAGTTTGGAAGCGCTTCATATATTCTAATAATACTGGAGAATAGCCGTGGGCCTGGGGAGTTGTTTGTAGTCCAGAGAGTAAAATAAGAGAAACCGGACACCACGGGGTCCACCGTGGTCACAGGGTTTTCTTTTTCAGGTACCTGCTGAAAATATCTTAGGGGGAGGCTGAGGTGTGAAGACAGAAGCACGCCGCCGCCGCCGCTGCTCTACGATGGCAGGCGCCACATAACTATAACGCCACTATATAAAAATTAAAGCTTTTAAAAAAGGCAACTTTCTAAAACTTCTGAGTTAAGAGTTGAGTTTCTCTGCTGCACAAAAGCTGGAGCAGTGACGGTGTTTCAGTGAACTCTGCTGACTGCAGGCTCTGTACACTGAACATCCCCAATGTGATTATACCAATAAACATGTTTACCGAGTCACTGAGCCCAGCGAATAAATTAATACTTTATTGCAGTGACCTCAAGGCACAACTATTTTTCTCTTCCTGCCGACTGTGTTACGGCCCAAAACCCACAGTGTCCCAGGATTTCACATCGTAGGACTTTGCCTCAGATTTATCAACATCGTCACACTCAAAAACAACGTCTGTGCTCAGGTTTGAAAATGAGAAGAGAGAAAATTAAAACCACAAAAGCCTCAGTAAATGGAATATGCAGTAGTAGCTTTTGGTCGGAGAAAAACATTATTGTGCAGAAAAATGTAATCTTAAGCCAAACAAAAAATTTCATTTTGATTACAATTTAAAATATTTGACCTGACTTTATTGCAAATAAATGAATCAAAGCAGCGAGTGAAGTAAATACTCCTTTAACGTCGAGAAAAAATTTAGAGCAAATTCCAGGGCAATTCAGGAATTAAATGTGAACAAATTTTACACCGAGCTACAAATGTCAACCTCAGGGTTGAGGTAGAAAAAGATGATCTTTAACTAATAATAAACAAACTAATATTTATGAATAAAAAACGCTGCAAATATATTTGCAAAATTCAACACGAACAACAAGTCAACATCTTGTTGATGATAGAAATCTTTTTTTGTTTTGGGTGGAGCTGCTGCCATGAAGTTTTAATTTTTGTTCTTCAAAAGTTTGGGTGCCAAAACTCAACTCCGAGCTGAGGGGTTTGATAAACACAGGCTCAGAATCAGGGCGTGATGGATCATAAATTCTTACTTTTGCTGTTGAGCAACCAATCACTCCTCAGTAAGGATTTAGGTTTTGACAAAAAAAAAAAAAAAAACTGTTGAGAGGAGACATAATAATGAACATGAGTTGGCAGTTCAAATATCAAACCTATATCACCACATGTGGTGCATCCTGATGTTAAAGACAACAAAGTAGGAGCTGGAGCCAATAACGGGATCAAATACCAGCCCAAAAGTCATCTACAATAAACAACCAAGAGGGGGAGAAAAAAATGAGGACATGGCTGCAGCACGAGATAATGGATAACACATGTGATTGGCCGAGCAGTATCCCAACACAGTCATGGAAAATATGAGAAACGAGAGAGCAGCGTGGCCAAGCCGACGGTGGGACCCTCGTACTCTGCCTCTCTGCTCCAAACAAGGGAATATCGTGAGTCGACTTAACCTTAACGTTCTTGGAGATGGGATCACCTGCAGTGAATCCAGAAGAGAAAGGAGTCGGATGACCTTGGATGGAAAAGTCCTTCTGTTGAGTCTCCGTTCACATTTTACCCAAATATGTCTTTAAGGAATTTCCTTTATTCAATTATTTCCTGATTAATGTTCATAATGTTCATCTTACTATTATCAAAAACAATAACAGAAAAGATTTTTTATTCTTGTGTGGCTTAGGTTGGGTTCGGACCATAAAGGTCTTGTTGCTCAATTCTGATTTTTTGTTGCTGAGATACAATGTTTTTGCAGGGCTTTTCATGTGTGATGTCACACGCCGTGTCGGTACGTTTGATCTTTTTGCGATCACGTCTCCCAGCCTCCGCTCTGACCCTGTGACTTTCTGATCTGTTTGTTCTTGTTGCGGGGACCTTTTCTGTCTCTCCTCAGTGGTTAGGAGTTCAGACACGTGCCAAACAAACCGTGACATTTTCGTGTACAACTGGCTGTGGAAACACTTGAAGAGCCAGGAAGCTGGGGGGCTGATCTTTAAAAAAAAAAATGTTTGCAGTGTTCAGACTGTATGAAGCTGAACTCATGAGGCTCTTGGTCAAAAACAAAAGGAAACAAAAGAAAAGAGATGGTTGTTCAAAGGCCGATCGAGGAGAAGGCGGCCTCAAATACCACAACTCCCCAAACTCAGAAACATATTTGGTTCTTCCTGCAGACATCACACATCCATACAGCTGACAAACAGCATTCTTTTACCCGTGCAGACAAAGGTAATATCTTTTACAGTCACAAACAGGTCACACCAAACCAGATGGACCGAATTAGCCGCAATTATCACAAAATAAGGTCAAAATAGGTGAACAAAAGAGCGCAGCGCTCTGTTCTGAGACAGCAGCTCGGACACTGAATCAAAGGCAGCGTCCAGCTTTAGTAAACACAGCAATGGATGACTCAACACAAAAGTATACAGGCTGCTGTTGATTAAATTAGCCTAACCACCGACCACTTTAGACAGGATACAGGAGTTTACGTTGTACCACATAAATTAAAGCTGATGCACGTAATGAGTGCTGGTTCACGTGGCCTTCAGCTGATTCGTAATTTACAAAATATACCAGATGTCATGTTTTTTCGTGTTACGTCTGCTTCCAAAAACGAACAGCAGTCCAGACAACGAACGCAACTTCTTTTTCGTGTTACGTCTGCTTCCAAAAATGAACGGCAGTCCAGACAACGAACGCAACTTCAATGTCTGAATTTTCACAGACGTCGACTTCCTCTAATATTCATCTGCACATATCCAAGACCACAGAGAGTCAGATTTACCGCCTGTGGTGCAGAAGTGTTTCCTGTTTGGGTCCCAGACACATTCGCTGAGGTCACACAGTCACTTCTTTGTCCTAGTAATTCATGCTGAACACAGAGTTATTATGGAAACAACTTTTGTTTTCGCCCAAGCTGTTGTCACTAAACACCGTTCTTCTGTGTCCATGACAGAGAATCAATCTATATCAATATGAGTATTTCTTATATTAATTGGGGGAAATCACATCTTTTTATTTAAGTCAATTATAAAATCCTCTAGTTAAATATTTTGACAATGTTCAAGTTATTTTAAAGCACTTATTTTTGGATCAAAATTACTCTATTTTTACTTAAATTCAAGCTGAAGAGGTCACATCAAATAATACAAAAATAGAAGCACAATTACAATACAACTTAGATAAATCTTGCAAAATCCTAACTAATACTTAACAAAGGCCCCAGACCAGGGATTAGAATGGGCATGAGTTCGACTGGTTTCCATAACAGCTACTTATTATCCGTAGTGACTTCCTCTTCCCCGCGGCCCTTTGGACCTGCGTGCTTTGTCAGCGATATTCTTTTCACATTTCATCCTGTACAAGATATTACATATGAGGAACCGCTTGTATCAGTGTTTGTATATATACTGTTAAAATTGCTAGAAATATTGCAATTGCCAAAGCTGCATTTCATCTTTAGCCTTTTAAAGTGGAAATGCGATTACATTCCGATCGAGGACTGGTAACTTTTCTTTTCACATCCACAGAATTTTTCACACCTGGCTCCCACATCCTGACACTAACATAACGCTGGGTGTGAGGATCCTGTTTGAGCCGGGAAGCCCTGGTTCCAGAGCCAGCCGAGCATCTTAACACGACTGTTAGAAAAGCAGCCATTCCTAAATGAACACAGCGGACCATGTGTAGCCTAACACCTTAAACTGTGGGTTTAAGTTATTCTTCTTCAGTCGGGAGCAAACGAATGACTTGAATGTCAATATTTTTGCCTTCCTGGAGACAGACATTTGGCACCTGTTTACCTGAGTCAACCCAATGTGACTGTATGAACAAGCTTAGCGAGTGTTTGCGAGATAATATTTAATTCTGTGTGAGCACCCACCTCGACATCCTGCAGGCTGAAGTCATTCTGGTCTTTGAAATTTGCGGCACCAGCGCTTAGCTCCATTAGCATCTTGGCAATCTCAGGCTTTATTGCTGCAGTCAGCCTGCTGGCCGCCTCCATGACGTGTTCCTGCACGTCTTTCAGTTGCATAGCTGCTTTGGAATAGTGAGAGTTCCTGAACACACTGCTGAACAGGTCTGTGAGAAAGGCGCTGGCCCGGCAGAACACGTTAAGGGCATCCAAATACTTGGAGATGCCTTGCTGGATGTCCGCGACCGCAGTGGTGGCAGCAGAAGGGGACGAGTGGCAGCTGCCAGGCATGACCACGCCGGTGCCTATGGGCGAAGAGGCCGAACAAGAGGTGGCAAGGGAGGCGCTCAGGGTCCGGCTCAGCTCAGGCATTTGGTACTGCTGGTGCTGCTGCACTTTCTGCTTGGACCCGCCGAGCAAAAAGCGACGCTTGTAGTCCATTTTACTTTCCTGCACACTACAACAATACATAAGTGGTGCAACAGCACCGGAAGCTCCTGTTCTGAGTTTGCTTTACCGACACAAAGTGCTCTTGTCCTCCTTACAGAAAGATCTGCTCAAACAACTCTGAAGCTGTTCAGGTTAAATAAAAAGACGGTCTAAAGAGTCCACCTGCCAGAAGCTCATCTCAATGTGCACAGTGCAGCACCAGCAGCACAGGAAGAGGTGACGTCGAGGGGTGATCAGAAGAAAGGACAGAACAGGCTGAGGGGAGGCCTAGTTGCAGCCCTGCTGCAGATCTGTCAAAGCTCGACTTAAAAAATCATCACAAACTCGTTCAGATCCTCTGTTTCTAGCGTCACACTGTGTTTTTTCACACTTTGAAATTGTGACTAACTTTCCTTCAGAATAGGGAAAAATGCTTCTTTATACAGTATACTGAGCATATCCACTAATAATGGTACATTTATAAACATATACTAGTCTGCACTAATAAAAAAAATATATAGAAAGTCCCACTAAAAGCTCAAACTGCAAATGGAAAAAAAATACCAAGATTAGACACTGGTCAACAGCATGGTGGGAAATGAAGAATAAAAGACAGGAAGAGGAAAAAGAGAGCGCTGACGGTTGAACCGAAGCGATCGACTTTTCTTGTGCACTGGCTGGTTTCGGAGCAGTGGGAGGAGAAGGGGAGACAGACCCAGTCCGTCTCAAATCCTCTTCTGAAAGCAGGAATCTGCAGGCAGTGAGCAAATGTCCAGCTGATATCTCTGCCTGTGTCAAGTCTCCAGTAGCTTCCTGGTCTCCCCCCGTCTTCTGGCTGAGGTAGATTTTACTCACTGGGGAACCGAGCACGCTTCCAGCTTCTCTCTGTACTCCACAGATTCAGACTGGAGCAATGAAAGCAGAAATGTTTCTGTAAGGCCTCTGGGTCATTTCCTAAGGCAGAAGAGAGAAGACAAAGACACAAACAGTGGGAAAGATCAATAAATTATCGTGCAAAAAGTGTAAGACATAACATTATTCAAAACATTTCTGCCACCCTTCGCTGGCTGGTCACCATGGTAGAAGCTAATGCCTAAAATGTTGGAGGCCTAGGTCATCAAAAAAACGTCTGTAAAAGTTTTGACAACATTACAGTCATTAAAAGATTCTCTTGGTCCAGATGACGGTTCTTGTTGTTTGGTAAAGATGTCAACAAGGAAATTATGTCACACTGACCCTTGAATGATAGGTGGAGTTCCTGCCACACTATAAACATTATTTTTCTTTTTCTACATATATCATTTATTATCTCTAACACAATTAATTAAGTAATTACAATAATTACAATAAATCCATCAGAGCTAAAACATTTTTTTTATTCTTACCATCACAGTTTACTTTTCTTTTAGAATAAAAAATGTCATAAATTTCAATCTGCAAAGTAACTGTTTACGACACTCCACAGTATTTTTTTAACCTCCACCACAGTTTGTAACAGTCACTGTGTTTTGGGACCATAAAGGGACTATTGTAGAACCAGGTATTTGACTGCTCTGAGTGAAACAGGACATTTTTTTAAAAAGGCACATTTTTTAATACATTTTTGGTAATATAATACTGCAGTTTGGCAAAAAAAAAAAAGCTGTGGTTTAAAATTGTGCATTTCTAGACGATTACTAACACGGTACCTCACAGAGCGCCTCTCTGTAAGAAGAATCCCTGGCAGTGTCTGGTTTAGCAGAACACAGCTGCACACAGACATTCCTGCAAGACGCCATTGTTGGAAGACACTACACAGTCTGTTGAGCAGCACACTGTAGGAGTCACAATACTCTCATTCAATAAGCCAGCGTTATGAGATGCCTTCTTCTCCCTTTTGATCGCCATCAACGCTCTGATGCAACTAAAAATGTTTTTCACTGTCACAATCAATACCAGCAACACAACATTTCACTTTTTACTTGTGCAAAGTGACACTAATGAAACTGAAAAACTGCCACAGGGCCACGTCTCGTGACCGCCACGTTTCTGACAGACAAACAAGAACAGAACGATGATTATGACTTGACCGTCTTCTTCATTTCTGCAATAAATACAGCAGCAGGTAAAACTAAGATTTGTCACCATCCTGTGGACATCCTGTCAGTAAAGATTCCATATTTGGATATGAAATGACGGGGGTTGGGCGAGAACATCCAGGAACGTCCAGGAGACTGGGATTGTCTGGTTCACTACTGAACCGTGGATTTCAGAATACAACCTCGGTATTTTAGGTCTTAAAGAAAAGAAGAAAAGTAATGCTTTTGTCACATCATTTACTACTCTTCATATAACAATTGTTAACTTATAATAGCCATCATTTGGTCAAGAATCAACCACTCGTCAACCGTGCAGAGTTCAAATGATACTGATCTCCCAGCACCACAGTCGGACCCTTTCCTGACCGGTGTTTTAGGTTGAGCTGGTAAAACAAAATGCTGGAAAAGAAAACACTGTGACCAATGAGATAAAAACGGTCCAGTGGTCAATCCATGGCAGACAGCTGCACGGACGCCAAACACGCATTAGCTTACGTTATCCAATTACGATAACAGTCTTTCAAAGATGACCGCCCTTCACAAATAAATGAGAGTAGGACTAAACAAAAACGTATAAACCTCATCCTCATTTTTCTGGAACCAATGACGAAACAGACCTGATGGAAACTCACGAGAACTCCTAAGGAAGTTTCCCTAATTTAACCCTTTCATTACAGGAACAGTGATGAATCTTTTTCCTCATTTTCACTCAGTCAACATCAGCAAACTGCTCTAACTCATTTCCCTTTTTTTTTTTCCAATGAAAGTAGTTACACATGGGCTGCAAATTCCTGAGAAGAGAATCACATCACAGCGAGGGCCACTGCTGTTGTTGGCGTTACACTGCAGACTATTTACAATGACTAGCCCACTGGGATCAGTTACTTAACTTACGACAACGGGAACTTTTACAAAGCATTTGGATTCTATAGTTCATGGAGTTGAAATGCACGATAGCAGATTTTGTGTCACAGCGCACACACAAACACACAAACCTTAACGTGTATGTGAGATTGCTGAAACAATCCCGGCCGTCACCGGGGCTGAAGAAAACTCACCCATGTGAACAGAACGTTTAAAACTAAAACCACAAAGACCATCAGTTTCCACCTGGGATTTAACTGCTGAGCAATAAAGGAGGTTGATTACAGCCAAAACAAACATATAAAGGTCAATAACTTAGCTGACAAACACTGCATGCCGGAGGAGCATGTTTGTGTTGCGGTATGTTTTGTTTTTTTTCGTAGACACACCTACGTTATCAGATTGAAGCAGCAAGCCTCAGGTGCTTCTCATGTGGATTGTTCACTAGTTATGAAAAAAAAAATTTCCTCAGCAACCGACAAACATCACGCCAAACAATACAGGAAAAATCTGACTGATGTTACGGTCACAAACATTATTATTCAGTGCTGTTAAAGTGGACAGAGATCGCTGAGCATCCCTGACGAATAATTTCACATCCTGTTTTTTTTATTTTTAATTATCCATCCTTCCTTCCTTCCTGTCTCAACTAGAACATGTGACTGCACTACAGTAGCGAGTTTTAGTAAATTCCAGTATTTCGTATGTTGAATAGTTAACATCTTATCAAAAAAGCAATATTAAATACAATCACTCTATGAAACAGTCCCTTCTGCAGGTTTTGTAAAAATTTGTTCACAGAATCCAGTGCTAACTATTACAAGAGAAGATCAGAATAATTTGTTGATCTGATTAGACTTTAAAAAATGCAAGATATATATATATTTTTTAAGATTTAAAATAAAATTTAAATGTGAAAGTTTGATCTGAAATTCAGCTTTCACATACAGTCATATGTATGTACTCCTTTCTTGTGTAAACAACCAAAGACGCACAAGATTAGCCGTTTCACTCTGCACATGCGCAAAGTGTGGCCTAGATCTCAGCGCTCCACCGACAGCCAATAGAAGACGGGTCTTCTGAGGTAAATTCTTCTTTATTATAGATGACAGCGTTTTTTTCCCACGTCTTAATTATCACCCAGGTTACAGTTTCACACTGTGGTATTTCTAACCACAAATCGATATCTGGCCAGAAATGTGCAAACCTGACACGATCTTCCTGATCGTTCTGAACTGTAAAGAAGTAGACGTAACAATTCAGAGGAACAGCACACGGTCATCTTGTGAAGGATTACACCTGGGAGATTACAGCCACAGAGAAACCCTGTCAGGAGGCCCACACTGTTGTGCTGGCAACACAGTTAACAGGTTTTGTGAGGTAATCAGAAAACCTAAGCTCACAAAGCCTGGGGTGAACAACTGCAGTTTGCACACGAGTTTGTCTTTATAATGTGGTGGGAGAGCAAAGACAAACAGAGAAGTAAAAAAGGTATTTTAAAACTAGATAAATAGATATAACATATTACAATATAAAATATAACAGATAACCTTTTTTTTCTCTTGTTCAAAACATTGTAAGAAATATTTAATATGATTAGTTTAAAAAAAAAATCTTTGTTTAAAGAATGTCTGTGTAACAGCTTGATTACGTACTGTGAGCAAAACAAACTATAGTACTAACCCTACTAACGCTAACCAGTGTTTTAATTTTTAATTAAGTTTAACTATACTGAAAATGTCCTGGAATCAGGAGACTGTAGTACAAGCACGTATTGTGTTACAGAGTAGATTCACTAAATGGAATTTAACTTGACTTAACAGATGGTTGAGAACTTTGTAATGTAGAGGAAAAAATAAATTAACACTGCAACAGTCAGTCTCAAGCTCACAAGTCGTTGTTGTGTTATTGTTTCAGGCACAAATAATTCATCTGTGCAACATTATTGTATTCTGTTCAATTTCCTCTCTGGCTCTAAATCCGTGTAAGCAATGGTGATTGTAAGAGGCGCAGACACGGCATCAATATTAATGAGGATTTTCAGGGCAGCTTTTATTGGCTGCCAGCCTCCTGTTGCAGGACGCACTGTATCAGCGATTGCACCCAAACAAACACATGTGATTAAAGCCCTTTCCGGATGCACTGGAGATGTGCCAATGCACTTAAACGTCCTTCCTGCAGCTGATGCAGCTCGGGGCTAATGTTAGCTCCTCTTCACCACTGACTGTACACGCCAGCTGCTCAGCTTCAACAAGATAGGGTTAAGGTTTCCTTGAGCAAGCTCCCTGTCGCCAGCAACAAAACCATCAAGCCAAGCCAACTGGGTACGGGTAATAAATCACAGCGGCATGCGTGTTTTACCTGTTTCTGCGAACCTCAAGTCAGACAACTGCAACAGTCACCTTTTTTTTCACATCATGTAGAAATATCATTAGAGAATATGATTTAATACAAATACACTTGGACAGTCGTAATTATCTACAACTATCAAAGTGATGGACATAAAAAAAGATCATTTTCATTGTCACTTAATTAACCAAAGGACAGCAAACACTGCTCATGTAGCCATAGGGTAATTAATAATTATTGCACTTAAAAATCATTACATAACTATTCCATGTAGAAAAATATAACAGCACATTTGGTGAATAATACATTTAGGAAGAGAGAAGATGTTCCTGTTGTTTTATGAGTAAAAAAAAACAAAAAACATTGAGCCATGGCCATCCCACAACGCATCCTGTGTGAAACAAATTTGGTTTCCCTTCTGGAGTCACTATTAAAATCACACATGATTTTCATCCATCTTCATAATCCAACCAACAACACTATCCACAAGCCTGCTACTGTCGCAGCAGCAGTAACTTTTGGTTTGGATGCCATGTTTTGTAGATGTCACATCCCGGCTACGTAGGTTATCGGCCATGGATGGGGCAGCTGTTACCCGTGCTGACAGCTCCTTATCCATCTGCCCCGTGAGGCAAACACGGGCTGTGTGACGTTTTAGCCACA